AGTGTGTTTGTGTGTGTGTGTGTGTGTGTGTGTGTGTGCTCGAAAAACGAATGAACTTTGCCACCCAATTTCAACCCCTCAGTTGGGCAAGCTGGGAAGCTGAAATTTCAAGAGCATATTTCCACCTCATGTGCCACCCTCCCTTTTTATGCGTTTTTGCATATATGCAAATGCGAAAACGCATATTGCGACGACCTCGGTGTGCATGTGTGTTGTGTGTGTTTGTGTCTGTGTCTGTGTCTGTTCAGGTATTTCAACTCGGCACCGAAGCAAGCTCGGGTTGCGAGTAGGTTCCCAGGCCAAATGCCACCCCAGGACCGCGGTACCAACCCTCATGCGCGTCTAGGCCCCGCATATGAAAGTTTTAGTGGGAAAATCGCTAACTCGGGAATCAGAAAAGCTAGAAGGCTGAAATTTTGAGGTTATGTTCCCTGTCCATAGAGAACTGAAAGATTTCAAATTCAGCCCCGAGGTATGCGGGGTCCCCGCGTACGACCCCGTGAGGGTTCTGGCGGGAAAGTCGCTAACTTGGGATCCAGAACAGCTGGGAGGCTGAAATTTTAAGGGGATGTTCCCAGCTCATCTGCAACTTAAATTTGTCGGATTCAGCCTCCGGGCATGCATGGTTCTTATGTACGGCCCCGTGAAAATTTTTGGCGGAAAAATGGCTAATTCCGGACCCAGAGAAGCTGGGAGCTGAAATTTCCAGGGAATGTTCTCAGTTCATGTACAGCTTACATCTATCAAATTCAGCTCCCAGGCACGTTTACGGCCCCATCAAAATTTTTTACGGGAACATGGGTAACTCGACAACCGGAAAGCTGGGAGCCTGAGATTTTAAGGGAATGTTCCCAGCCCACGTACAACTTAAATTTACCAAATTCAGCCCCCAGTTATGCGCGGTTCTCACATACGGCCCCATGAAAATTTTTAGCGGGGAAACACCGGGGGGGCTGAAATTTTTTTTTTTTTAATTTCGGGAATTTAATTGTCTGTGCTGTACTTCGACAATGAGCATTTTCCAAAAATTTCACCCCCCCCCCCCCCCCCCCCCCCCCCCGG